AAGTGGGGTGTTTTGCATCTAGTTTTTAAACATTAATCCTGAGATTCATTTTGTACCTTCTTTACCATTCCACTGCCTCTCAATGGCCTGCTCAGCACCAGCAGCTGTGCCTCAGTGGTCGAAATGAGCAAAAGACACAGACACAAGGAAGTTATGCATATATTTAAGAGTATCAATTGAGTACGTGAGATAAGGTACATATATGTTTCATTTATAAGTTCAAACATATATATTTCCCTTATGAGGGAAATAGCAATTCATGTGCCTCTTTTGAATCCTCTTAATTTTTGATATCAATGATCACAATCCAAATCAAGCATGCCCCACCCATTCTGAATTTAAAGATGGTCAAAAATGGTTAAAACTATTGTATTGACAGATTATGTTCAACCTTAATGTTTCCCTATCTGAGACTCTAAAATCCTTGAGGGCTGCCTCTTCCATCTTTGCATCTTCAGAGTAGGTTCTCAATAAATATTTATTAAGAGAAACTGTGAATAAATTAATAAATGGATGAAGAATTGTACTGAATAAAGGAAAAGCTAATAATTGAGAAAACAGCTGGCCCCAGAAGAAAAGTAAATACATAGTAAAGTGCTTGGCTATCTCAAACAGGGCTTTATTAGTCTTATTCAACTATTCAATTATTCAACTTATTCAACTATTGTCAATAATATGTAAATTCTAAAGTTCAACATACCAAAAAATTAAAATATGACATGAGAAGCTAATGATCTACAAGTAACTACTTTTTGTTTTTTAAAATCAAATGTAAATCTGGTCTGTTCCACCAAAGAAGTCCTACAGCTTACGTTTTCACTGTGCCATTCACAGTTTCTACACAAAGGCAGCAGGATGCCAAATTGCAAAGGAGAGAAATTATGCTGTGTCAGAGCAAAACTGGCCATCAATGAATGCTATCAGAATTACTTAGCACAAATAGTTCAGTGTAACTTTGTGAATGAATTTCCTGAGTAATTTAAAGATAACACAGCTTTCAAACTATTTAATGTAATAAAAATAAATACATCCAAATACAGTAAGATTCCTTGAGTCAAATGAAAAAGTAAACTTAGTTCATTTTAGATATACATCTTAAGACCTTTAAGTAAGAAAGAGAGCACATCCCAAAGAGCAAAATTCTATGAATCCTTCAATTTCAGAGTTATTTTCATCTTTTTCAATCACAATGACCAGCACAGCATGAAGTCAGGGTCCATTAAATGACTGTGGATAAAAGGGAAGGAGGAGGCAAGCAGGAAATCTCCGTTAACTAAAAGAACTGAGAAATAATAAAATATTTATGAATATAATAGTGATTAGCATTCAGCAAACATATCTGGGTCTACATCTTCCTGACACAAGGACAAGATCATACTTCTTGTTCCTTTCATGTCTACTTTGGGCCATGTGATTGGATCTGACCAATCACGTGGTCACAAGCGATATGAGTTTCCCACAGGTCATAGCATTTCATTACTGGAACTATGACCTCCAGAGAACTCTTTCTTTTTGCCATGGTAAAAAGCAATGTTTACAATGGTAGCTGCTTCAACAGACTGGATACAGAAGGGCGAGATACTAAACAGAACCTCCAGCACCTTCCACAATAAACATGTAGACTGAGTGAGAAATAAATTTATATTACAAGGTCACTAGATTTGGAGGTTATTTTCTATTACTTAGCCGAGTTTATCCTGACTTATACACTCAGGCACTTTCCTTCCTTAAATGATGCCAGGTCCTTTGTATTGTCCATTATATATGAATTTGCTCTCACATTAATATTTTTTTAGAGCAGGATAATCTTGTAAATATTTAGAGTTAGAATTCACTGTGTGAAGCTGTTGGAGAAACCATGACAAATACTTACATTTACTGATTTATATATCACAGTCTGAAAAGAAATTTCCTAGAAATAAAGAACTTATTTCTAGAAAAGCTTTTTAAAAATTTTGACCAATCCTTAAAAAAGTATCAAGAAAGTTACTCAGAGGAAAATGAATTAAAGTTGTTAAAGTGGTTTGATGAAATATAACACATGTGAATGCTTATCAAATTATTCCAAATATATTTTGCTTTCTTGTAAAAATTTAAGCATGTCCCAATTTTTTCTGCCACTGATGTTCAAAGAGTTAATACATCTGCCCTTTCTCTTCCAGATTGAAATATCCCAAAAGTATACAAAAACACAATTGTGGTGCACCAAACCCATTAGGGCATATTTTTGGTCATTTAGGAAACCCTCAGCATCTTAATTAATAAAGCCATATCTTATAAGTAGAACTGAAATCCCCATGAACTATATGAAAGGTTGCAGTTCCTACTAAGTATAAATATCCTCTTTTGTTACAAAATTCCTTTTTGATAGCATATCTCTCAGTAAAGACACCGATAACAGTCATTAGCCTATCAAGAAACCACATTTTAAGTTCAGCAGTACTAAATTTTGTTTGTTTTTCTTTTTTGTATTCTTTACAGAGGATTGCATCCTCAACTTATCACTTAAATAGGTTGCCTTAAATGTGTTACTTTCCTTACACAGAATTAACACAAGAAAAATAAAAAAATAGCTCAAATTAATTTTAAATCTAATTCATTCTCCCCAAAGCTTGTAGGGTTTGAACTTAGACAGCTAGGATCCAAATCCAAATCCTACCTCTGCCATTTACTACCTATGTGATTTGGGGCAAGTTCCTTATCTTCTCAATGCCTTATTTTTTCTTTTGCAAAATTTGATTCATACAGTATCAGTTTAAAGTATTGTTGTGAGGACTGAATGTGATAATATAATGAAGCATTAAAAGCAGTACCTTGGCTCAAATAAGCATGTAAAATACATGTTACTGTTATTATTGCTGTAAAAAAAAAAAAACTGCATTCTTAAATACATACAGTTGTTTCAATTATTTTGGAAGAGGAATATAGAATAGGTGTCACTTTTCGCACACAAAACTACAAGTTCCTAAATATATAAATCACTTGTTTCACATAAAAGTAGAATTACCTAAAGAATTCTAGCTTTTCTTCCTTACAATATTGCATAAGTTAAGTAAAATATTTGTTGTACATTTTTAATTAATGATTAAACTGTAAAGTTACTGAAGGATGAGACATAAGTTACAAAATCCAAAGGAAAACATAAAATCATGAAGTAATTTTTGGTAGGTCTCTCTTGGACATTAAAAATTGTCAGTATTTATTTCAAAAAGTTGTATCTGTAAATCCAGTGAACATATCAATATTTATACCAAGTTTTTGTTTCAACCTCCGATAGACAATCCACCACCACAGCAATGGTGTAATTCTGCCATCTAGTGGAATACCTATAATACTGCAAGGACACTTTTTTTGAAAACTTACAAATAGGGCCTCAAAAGAACAAATCATTTTATTGTATCTTGACATTTTAAGTTTTAAACCTCGAAAGGGGATCCGAAGAGAAGAGCGATTTTTTGATATTACAAGGAGAATTGTTTACATTGAATGTACTATTAAAATTTCATGAGCTATAAAAGAATATGTAAAAGACCCCACTTCAGGCAAGTTGAATAAACAGGGTACAACTAGTCATATAAATACCTGTTTGTGAAGGAATAATGGAAATTTTGTGAAGAGAAATATTTCATAATACTTCATTAACCCTAACTTTTAATGCTGTATCAACGGGAAATATTTTTAACATGTTCTCATACTTTAACAAAAAATATCAATTGCAACAATAACAATATACCATTTTCAATGCACAACAGAATAAAAAGAAAGATGAAATTATATCTTTCTGTATGTGTAAAAGTAAACACACACATCATTTTTAGTGTAATGGAAACAAGAAGCACATTATCATCTGTTGTTTTGTAGTTACTGATTTGCCCAAGATTAAGAAACGGCTGAGCCAGAACAAGGGCTAGAACACCTAACTTCAAGCACAAGCATTTTGCTACCATGCAATGTTACCTTACCATCTTCAGGCTTCTTCACAATATAATTATCAGATATTGATGACCTAATATTTTCATTTGAAGCCTAATTATCTAAAATTCATAGAGATATCATAAGTGAGTTATTTTTGAGCATTTTTCACATATATCCATAGGTAGGTAGGTAGGTAAATAAGTAGGTAGACAGATTATTTTAAAGAAACACTGTTAAACAATAGGAGTTAAATATACTGCTGGAAAAGGACACATTTGTGAGAAAGTTAGAAAAGTGAACTCCAAAAGACAAGCCTACCCTAATATTTGTGAGATCTGAGGCTTCATGGATCCCTGGGCTACAGTCCACCCCTCATCTCTTGCCACCCTCAGCTCCATCTCATACTGTGAGGGAGCTTCATACACATGCCTCTGTGATACCCCATCTCACGTGCAAGCTCAGACCATACCCCTCTACATGTACCCAACCTCCACCTTCATCCTAAAAGCAGGCAGTTTGGACCAGGAATCTGGTATCTCAGTTACTTTAATGTGTTCACTCTTTGAATGGGCATTTTGCAGTGCCCCCCATGGGCTCCACACTGGCTCCTCACCCTGTGTGTGGAGGGGCACTTTGGGAAAACATCAGGGTAGGGTCCATTAAGGGGTCTAAGGGTGGCACTGGCCTAATGTGGTTTACAAAAACACATTTTGTAGAGTGGCTATAGGGTGGAGAGATGGTGTGAAATGATGTAAAAGGGTATCCTCATGATCAGAGGATTTTTCTTAACTTGTGTTAAGACCCTAGGTCTTGTTCTAGAATAGAGAGTAACAAATTTTCCATAGAAGCAAGGATGACAGGAACTAAGGGTAGCTATCACGGTTCGTGCCTATCTGTCCTGACCCAGGAGAATCTCAGGTAAAAAATGAGCTTGTCTGACTTACGACATCAACTATGGAGACAAATTTTCCCTTCAAGTATGAGGTTTCTATCTTTCAGTCTGTTCATTTTGTAAAAGGCATGCAAAAACATTCCAGATATATATGGCATTATTTTATTATATGCAGACATGTGTATACACTTACCATACTGTTCATTTTTGAAGACGAGGAACCTGCTCTCTGCTTTCTTAAACTATTAACTTCTTCTAAGTTTCCATCTTTTGGTTTCAAAATCGCTCTGCTATTCCCTGCAGTTCCTTCTGATGAAGATCGTAGTCTCCTCTCTATAAATCTTCCTTCACGATATGGACTGAGGCTACTAGCAAGAACTATTAAAATAAAAATTAATAAAAGTTAATATAAATATTTAACTGTAGTTTTTATAAATGTTCCATTGAAGAACAATGAATAACTCAGTGTCATTCAAAAATTCTCTATCACAAAAACTTTTATATTTGCAGTGGCGGTTCAGTTTGCTTCATCATTTAATCTCTTTGAAGAGCTCAAAATTTCTGGAGTCATCCCTGGCTTCTTCACGGCTCACATTAATCATAAACAAATCCTGTCCTTATATTCTTCAAATTGCAGAATCTGATCGCTTCTCACTACCTCCCTAAGATTCTGGACCAAACCCCATCGATGCTTATCTGGGTTACCGCAATACTTTCTAAAATTCTCCTGCCTCTACCTACTTCCGCTTGCCTCTCCACCGCCAACTCCAACACACAATCTACTTTCCACATGGTAGCCAGAATGACGTACTTAAAACATACATGGGCTTCACCACCATCACTCTTCTAGTCCCAAAACTGACATTTTTCAAATGGTTTACCAGCTTCTTCACGACATGACCCATCCCTCTGTCCCCACACTAGGGCTGCCTGTTCACCTGATTACCTTTCACACCTCATCATTTGCTACCCACTCCCTATTCCACTCTGCTCATGCCACACTAGACCTCTTGCTGTCGCTGGAACATTGCAGGCATGCTCCAGCCCCACAGCTTTTGACCCACAACCTTTGCACTAATATACTTCTCTCAAATATTTGTGTGGCTTACTGCCTAAATTCCTTCAAATCTTTACTAATATGTTACCTTGGGTACCACTCTGCTCAAGATATTTTACAATGGAAACTGTAATCCTACTTCCCATTTCCTAATCCTTTATTCTGCTTTAAATTTATTCTCAGCAGTTACCATGTGACATTTATCTATTTGCATGTTAATTGTCTGAGTATTCCCAGGAGAAAGTAAGCTACATGAAGGTAGGGATTTATGCCTGTTTTGTTCATTGCTATATCCCTAGTACAAAAAACAATGCTAAAACGATAAATTTTGTCAAATCAATGAGTGAGTGAGTGAATGAATAAACCGTTCTTTTTAGGCTCATTTACTGGTTTAAAGACTTCTGGACAAAACCTACTAGGCCAAATATAGTAGTCCTTTTTAAATAACTTTTTAAGCCAATGAATAAATATTAAATTGCCAGAGAGCTCAACATTCCATTATTAATTTTGATATGATTGTATACCTAACACACTCAGATGTGTATTAAGTACTAACTTAAATATGTTTCATAATAAATACAAAATAAATTTAATATTATGGAATTAAGTATGCAACTCTTTCTTACATGAAATATATATACTTAAATGGTTTTAAAATTTTTAAACTTCCAAATTATAAAATACTAATAAATAGCACACAGATATTCTCACAAAATAAAGGATAGTATATTATCATCTTCTCCCTGTAAAAATTACCAGCTTATTTGTCCAAGAACAGGCAATACATTGTCAAATTGGCAAAATTACTTTAATGTGTGAAATGGCTTACAATTACAATTTCTATCAACAGGTAAATAGTCACCAAAATAATTGTGTGTCATTCTCTAGTTTCCATAGAGATAAAAATACACAGTATTCAATTAGACATTGAGGCAAGTCGTCACTGCTAAATAATAATTAGACATATTAGGGTAATTGCATTCCTAGCCTTTTTTGTGACATTTCTTTTTAAAACTGCCTGGATTCCAATCTGAGGTCCATCATTTGCTAAAAATGTGACCTTGCAAAGTTATTTAACTTAATCTTAATTTTTAGTTATTAATAAAAAATGTATGCAACATAAAATTTTTGTAAAAATTATATGAAATAGTGCATGCTACCAAGTTCAAAAATGAAAAAAGTAGTCAGGTGCACAAAAGTGATCTTGAATTAAACGTGAAAAATATTAAGAGAGCTAGAAAATTAATTCATGCATTTAAAACTTTAAAATTGCTATATTTGTGGAAGGACTATATAATCCTATTATTCTTGACATGGTAATATATCATTTGACTTATAAATTTTATTTAATATTTTAGGTCATGACACGTAGAACAGCATAGCTATTAAGAGCCTGAGATTTCGACTCAAATAGTTGTAATTTGCTTATGCTATATGATCCCTCGGCCTCATTTTTCACATTTGTAAATGGGAAACATACAAGCCTACCTCATAGGGTTTGTATCCCAATCAATTACTTATTGCCTTTGTGACTATGGACACAACATGTCTGTGCTCCAATTTCTTTCCTGTAAAATAGCTTATAACAGTAGTAATGATTGCAATATTTTTTAAATTAATGTACACAAAGTATACAAAACAGTATCTGGAACATAAACATTTTCAAAGTTGGAAGCATTATTAGTAGTACTAGCAGCAGCAGCAGCAGCAGTAGTAATGATAGCAGAGAAAAAAAAAGAATAAAAAAATAATGTCTAACATAGCCCAGTAGGTGGCATATATTCAACAATTTTTGAACTGAACTTTATGCTTAATGACAATGTTTTCTGGAGTCAGATTAAAGTAATTCTCACACCCTCTCCCCGTTTTTTTAAACCAAAGAGAAGGTGTCCAAAGTTACATAGCTAGTTAATGTCAGAGGCAGGGCTGGAACCAAGGTCTCTAGGCTCCAAGGACAGTATTTCTAAAACATGCAATTCTTTTGAACCTAGAGGTAGGGATTACTTATGCTAAGACATACTTAATAATGAAAGCTTTGTTAACTCAAGAAATAGAATTTAAATTATATGAATTTCTTTTATAATGATTTTGAATGGAATATATCCATTTCGTTAACTAAGAAATACCAATACCACTATAATGAACCCTAAAAAAACAGTCCTTATATTAGATAAAGCCACATTACAAATAGAATTAGTTCCCTTCTACTTTCTTCTGAGGGTCAGAATCTGGATAACACAATTAAGAAAAACAAATAACATTACTAATATTACATTTTCAGCATAATATAATTGAGGTAAGTTTAAATCAAGTAGGGGAAACATTTAAAACAAATTATGAACAGCAAAGAATTTAGAAAGTGAAAAATAAGGAAAATGTGGTTTCCATTCATGAAATGGAACAAGACGACTAAATAAATTATAATGAAAATTAATTCATATCATTTATCAAAGAAAATCAGCATACCTTTGGCAGGATTTCCTTCATATCCATATGATGTTTTGTTAAAAATATGATGATCACCAGAAAAGGGTATTATCTTTGACTCTGAAATAGGATGTATTCCTTTAACACGTTCAGCTATTGCTTTATGTTGCTCGTAAAATCCAAGTTTCCTTGGAGAACTTGCCCCCAGCATTGTTTCACCATTTTGTAACACCATATTTTCTTCTTTTTGAGTATCTGCTGGTATGTGAGTCTCTGAGTTGCTCACATTCCTAACAGGTAGTTCAGTGGTTTGCAATAACACTTCCTTCTGATTAGCAGCAGAGGTTTCTGGTAAGGAATTAGATTCAGTGCTACATCGACCTTCTAACCTGCATTTCCCAGGAGACATAATTGCAGAGGGAACAGTTCCCCTAAGTTCTACTGTTGTTTTTGCAACAGCAGCAGGATTGGGAGAGATGTGAGAGGTAGAATCATTGTGGCCAGAGTTGTCGCAGTGGGATGCCATGCTTCCACTTTTAGGAAATGCATCCACTTCAGACACAGAATCTTCTGTCAAGGCTAAAAATTCTGAAGGTGTCTGAGCTGTGGTAAGATCACCAGAAAGCAAAGGAGATTGTAAAGAGCTTCCTGCCCGTTCTGTTACATCCACAGAACAAGATGGAGAAGTTCTTACTAATACAGGTTCTCTGTCTTGGTACTGTGTAATTTCCAGTGAGAATTCAGACTGTTGTACCAATGAAATGGATTGGCTCTGTAGAACTGGCTTAGAAAATTTATAGTGAGATGAAAAAGATTTAGGGAGTAGCTTCCTTGTTGAATGCTTAACAGAACGGCGAGTTTGTTCTTCTGTGAATCCAGAATCATCCCCCTCACTTTTGCCAGAACTTAGACAATTTATAAAGACACTCTTATTAGTTGAGTGCTCCTTTTCCTTTTCAAAATCCTCTGTCAAAGATCTTGTTATCTTCTTATTTCGTGAACTACTGAAACCAACAGAATGTCTTGCCCTGGTTTTAATATGTTCTTCCAAACTCAGTTTCTGCATATTGCTTTGGCCAGGTTGAGCACCATTTGAAATACTAAGGTTCTGGTTGGTAGGTTCTTGTTTAGGTTCACTCCCCTTTTTATGGTGGAAGCTAATAGAAGGAGTGCGGAATATGCTCCTGCGTTTACCTGTACTACCTGAGCTTGAGTTAGTGCTGGAAGGAGAGGAACTGTGGACACCAACTGTATTACTGGAAGAGGGTGAAGAAGGAAGAGACTCATGTCTTCTGCTAATACTTCTTCTGAATATTGGCAACCGGGAGACAAGAGTAGATCGTCTCGATCCTGAGTCCCCCATTGGGACTCCAATACTTGCACTGTGATAGCCAATTTAGAAGCCTGAGAAAAGTTAAAATGGAAAGTACAAGTCAACAAAATTCAATTATAAATAAGACACTAAAACAAAATACTGTTTTTCAAGACATAGCATAGAATTTGCTTTATACTAAAATAATAAATAATAAAATTCTGATACTTAATAAGGACTTTTTAAATTTATAAGTAGCAAAGTGATCCAATAATTTGTATAAAAATTTCATAATGATATAAAATATCAAGATTACAGAAAATATTTGAAGTCCATTCAAAAGTGTGTTGGGTTGGGAGACGCAAGATCATTATTTAAGATCCAGCCTTACTATTGACAACTGGTTGTATAATTTTGATAAAATATCAAGATTACAGAAAATATTTGAAGTCCATTCAAAAGTGTGTTGGGTTGGGAGATGCAAGATCATTATTTAAGATCCAGCCTTACTATTGACAACTGGTTGTATAATTTTATTGACAAATAATAATTGTATATATTTCTGAGGTACAATGTGATGTTTTGATATATGCTTACGTTTTAGAATGATTAAACCAAGATCATTAGATCACCTCACATATGTATCATTTTGGGTGGTGAGAACATTTAAATTCTACTGTTTTAGCAATTTTAAAATATACAATACATTATTCACCATGCTGTGCAAAAGATCTCTAAATCTTATTCCTCCTGTCTAACTAAAACTTTGTACCCTTTGAACAACAACATCTCCTTATTTCCCGCTGCCCCAAAACACACCCCCTCACCCCAACCTCTGGTAACCACAATTCTACTCTCTATTTCTATGAGTTCAACTTTTTAGATTCTGCATATAAGCGAGAACATGCAGTATTTGTCTTTCTGTGCCTGGCTTATTTCACTTAGCATTATGTCCGCCTAGTTCAGCCATGTCATTACAAATGACAGAATTTCCTTCTTTTTAAAGACTAAATAGTACTCTGTTGTGTATATATAACACATTTTTGTAATCCATTCATTCACTGATAAACACTTAGGTTTGCTTCATATCTTGGCTATTGTGAATAATGCTGTCGTGAACACAGGAGTGTAGATACCTCTTCAACATATTGATTTCAATTTCTTTGTATGTATACTAGAAATGGGATTGCTCGTCTTACTGTTATTCTATTTTTAGTTTTTTGAGAAATCTCCATACTGTTTTTCATAGTGACTACTCTAATCTACATCCCTACCAGCACTGTACAAGTGTTCCCTTTTCTCCACATGAATTTGAGTTTAAATCAAACTATACGTGAACCATCCCCCAAACATATCAGTACTCATGTAAGGCTTTGAAGAAAGCAAAATATAAACAGAGAAATTTTAGCTCTTGAAATTTTTCACAAATAAAAATGTCTCATTTTTCTCACAGTTCAGTTTTTCCAGAGGAAACAATAAATAATACTTTTTTTCCATGATTTTATTCTTAATAAAAGCTGTGATTTTTTTCATTTATATGCAACATTTATTTCCCTTCAATGCCCACCGAAGAATTTTGCTCTAATTAGAGCATTATCAACCATAATATTTGCAGCTGGTTGTGAACCTGTGGACTTCAATGCATTAATGTCAGCATATTAACCACCATTATTGAAATATCTTCAAAATTTATGTATATTGAAATATTTCTTGGCCTTTTTTAGTATTTCTTCCATTTGGATCAGGATTAAAAATAAAAGAATGACTTAGTTCCATATGTGTTAGCCAAGTATTCAAAGGATTAAACTAAAAAGAAAATAGCAGAAAAAAAAATTACGATAATCACTCCTCCTTCTAAATATTGATGAAAACAACCAGTTTCCACTTGGTACAAATAATAGGTTATGTTTATCCTAATTTCTTTAGGTAAATACATCATAGATGCTAAGAGATATTTGTGCATTAAATGGGTTGATCTGGAGTAGATATAAAGCTTATTAGAGATAAAAATCCTTTAGGGCCGGCCCCGTTGCGCACTCGGGAGAGTGCGGTGCTGGGAGCGCAGTGGCGATCCCGCCACGGGTTCGGATCCTATATAGGACTGGCCGGTGTGCTCACTGGCTGAGCGCAGTATGGGCGACACCAAGCCAAGGGTTGCGATCCCCTTACCGGTCACGGAAAAGACAAAAAAAAAAAGAAAAAAAATCCTTTAGATTTCACTTTGTCTTTTATATGAACTCCTACTTCCTACTGAGAGCTTTCCAGCAAAATGAGAGAAAGATAAAATATGTATAAGTCAGAATTACCCATATTCTTTGGAAAGACTCTTTAACTCTTCTCCGCACATTTCTTTCTCTGATTACACAGACGACTGCCATTTTCTGCTCACTTTCACCCTCAGGGACTTTGCAGATGTGGTGCACCTGCTTAGGATGCCCTCCCTGTGACTCTAATGTGGCAAAAATCCTACTGCTATGACACTGCCCCTTCCAGAATGCCATCCCTGACACCCTCTTCCCACCCTCTCCCATTCTGGACTTAGTACTCCTCCTTTATGTATCCTTGAGTATTAGTTTACAATAAACGCCTCTTTATTTATATGACTTTACTATTTTATCTTAAGCTTCTTAATGGCAAGGGCCATCTCTGCTTTGCTTTGATACCCCAGCCCCTAATAAAATATACTGTTAGTACCTATAGAGTAAATGGATTTCAAAAACTGAAACTCTAACTTGAGCACATCATAATTTCAAACATAAATAAATAAACACATTTTCTGTCTTACTGTCATGAATAAATGTTAAAATCCTGATTTTAATTATGCTGAATTACAACTTTTAGAAATTCATGTTTATTGAAGGACATTCAAACTGTGAAAAGTTCAATATATGACATTTACTAATAAAACACTTGAAAATATTATGAAAAAATAAGGCTGAACAAGTTGAATGAAAAAATATGTCATCACATCAACTAAAATTATTCATGAAAGATAAATTTAACATTGCAACATGCTAATTTCATTTCTTTTTATTATAATGTTATAATGATAACAATTACCGTTAACTTCTTAGCAAACCTTATATATTTTTTCATATATTTTCATAACTTCCAAATCAGATAAAAAAAAATCTATTCTCAATTCTTATTTAATGCTTCTTATTTCAGAACTTTTCACTTTAACCATAACAGGTCTTAATATACAGGTTGAACTAGACCTGTCCATTGTCCAGGGGCATCTACTCCCATAACATTTTCTTTTGAAAAAACAAATTCGTTGTATAAGTGGAATGTCTTCTAATTATACATTCAATGTTGTGTAAATAAATAAATAGGACTAAATTGTAGAAAATACTACCACACAGATGCATACTGATCCTAGTAGAAATGATGTGAATCTCCGTTTGATTTCTTAGAAATATACAATGGGCATCTGAAGAAACAGTATCCTTTGTTCTTTAGCACCAGGATTAAAAGAAAAGCTCCCAGAAAGTACTTTATTCAGTGATCTCTACAACTTTAGTAAATACAATCATTACCCTTAATAGAATGCAACGCCATATGATAGATCTATTCTACATGAATTTAGAGTCAAATTTTTTATTTGGGATGGTTGAGGAAGATATGTATTATAGTTAAAGGGTTTGTATGGATCATTAACATATTTCCTGCTTAAAATTAAAGGAAAAGTAAAACACATGAAATAATTAAGAAATACTGAAAAAAAATTACCCTTTCTTTCATGGTTCCAAATGCATTAACCAATGGTATAGAACAATTCTGCAGGGTTACAGGGCTATATCATCTCAGAAACTGATTACCATATACACAAATATATATATTTGTGCAAGTAAAAGATACAAAACAAAAACTGCCTAGGTACTTTTTGTCTCTCTCCCAAAACAGGCAGTATTTTATGGCAATAACAAAACTAAGCAAACAAAAAATACCTCTTACATACACATGCAATTGGCATTAAAAAAACTGGTTTCAAATGCAAATTCTGCCACTCACTAGCAGCATGAACTATAGGAATTCTTTTATAGACATTATTTTTTTAAGGATGAGAAAGTACTACATCAGAAAGAAACTGTGCCACAGAGTAGATTTGCAGCCTCTTTTTCTGATGAAATATATTCAAACAAGTGGTACGTGGTGGTATAACACATCGAGTGGTTATGAAAATCACCTGCTTATCAAAACCTGTGCCTAAATCACTGTTTTAAAAAAATCACCTAAAATAATATTGGGGAGAGATATATAAAACTGAGGTCTATATTCTGACACCTTATTTTGAACCTCCCCTAAGTTTACATTTTTGTTGGAATTTAAAAACAAGTGATCAATATTTGAAGTATTTGTGGAGAATGTTGCATAAGTTAAATCTGGGCCCAGCCCTATTCTCTCTCAGAATGAATTTTAGAAAATAACCCAGCAAAGCCTAAATGACCACACTAAAAAGAAAATCTTCTACCATGCATGGTGAAAATGCAAGAAAGAAAATTCACAGAAACCAAATGTTCTCTAGATAATAATTCTCAACATTAAGAAAGTGATGTTAGGAAATAAATCATATGTAGACATATCAAAAGACATTGATCGATTTTTACCAAAATTAAGTAGAATTATAGCTAGAAGTAATTTTCTGAGCAATCTTATCTAATTATGTCATTTAACCCAGCTTTAATTGAGGCTCACAACTGTTAGGTGCTTACGGCTCACCTGGAAAGCTTTTCAGCCCAGTCAGGCTCTTTCTATTATAAAGGCCATGCTATTTATACTTCAATATTCTTTTATGTTAACTATCCTGTAATTTATCTTCAAATGCATTTCCAAAATATTTTGTTTTTCCTTAAATTAATGGGGAAATAATGGAGGCATATTTAATAGATAAATCACTCCCATGACACTGATATGGGCCACTTCTGCCAGTAGGGTCAGGGAGGACGATATGAGATACGTTAAAAGGATGACTGATCGGGACCAAGTTGGGTGATCAGTCACAGGGAAAAGAATGAGATTGTCAGCCTAATGTAGAAAGAGCCAGGAATCACATAACTGACTAGACATGTTTAATTAACCATTTACTAAG